CCCCCAAGTGGCACAGCGGTATGTCTACGGACTCACAACGCTAGAAATCGGGTTTCGATACCCGTGGTGGGCAGATCACAGATAGCCCTTGTGTAGCTTTGTGCATAACTAAAAACAAACAAACTTTTAAATGGCTGGTATCTACTTATATTATTAATATCGGGCTTATGTTAAGATAAGAACAGAAATGTCAATAGGTATTAGGTGTAGAGTGTTATACTAATACGAGGTTTAATGATCCATCAGTTGATCTTTCTCGTACAAAATAAAAAATCATTAACGTAACAATTATTATATTTAACTAAAACATACATATAGAAACATTTCAATTAAAACAAAGCCATAAACTAACAAACAAAAAAAGAGCTCCCATTTGTTAAACGTTTTCACTTGCTTACCTATTAGATCATAACCTTTCTCAAGTTAATATACACAAGCTGTAATTGAGAAACCTCAAAGTTACTGAAATGTTATTTTTACACCCCTGTAATTCTGAGTCCGAAACAGATAAATTTAGAGAAATGTGGAAAAAAAACATTATTGCTTACGTGATTTTTATCTCAAATTTTAGACCTATCGAAGAAGGTAAAAAAAACCATTGTCTATCCCACTGCTGCTTTCTCAATTAGAACCATTATTTCTTATCTAATTCATTATAATGTCTTTTATTAAAACTATTGTTTTATTTTACCCACCATCATGCCCAATGTTGAACAAAAAACAAGGTTTTGGCCAACTAGTGAACGAATATTTCCTGTAAAATTCTTATCAATTCTATAAGTGGAGCTACCAGTTTGGTCGCCATTTGTGATTTCATTACCTTTAAGTCGCACACTGAATTCTTTTTTGGCCGCACCTTTTTTCACACCTAAGGTGTTTTTGATTAGATATAATGACTTTTTGTCAATATACACCAACAAACCACACCAAATATGAAAGTGACACTCGATACAATCAACATTAGCTTTAGGATCGCAACCCTATTATTCGGAACATAAATTTACTTTACAGAACCAACC